ATTTGAAATATTTGCGACGAGGAGAACAGCGGATAATGGACGCCTATCCTGTCGTTTTGACGATAAATTCAGCGTTAAATTTAGCGCGCCACGTCGAGACCGGATACCACAATTCCTCCCCCCTTCATTGCCCTTCCGCCTTTTTGCCGGGAGGGGGGCAACGTTTAATCTCATTAGCAGTCGTTGACGCGCCGTTGACAGAATTCCGAGACGTTTCTGAATACACGCGCACGTATAGAGAGGTCGCGAGCAAAGTCGCGAGAGATACATGGTCGTTACGCGAGGATGTTTGCCACGTTTACGCAATACGTGAATCGTATACATATATTAGAGCGAATGTCGGCAGGAAGAAAAGCAAGAAACGCGCGGAAACATGTCGAGTACTCCGTGGAGCGGCGGGGCCATAAATTCTGCGGTACAATGGGGACAATGCGTTAAGCGAAATGTACAATGCGGAAAGAAAAAGTTTCCATCGTTGCGTTTTGTCTAAAATCCTATCTAAAAAAAAAGGCATGTTAAGTCGATAACTCGCATTTCTCAAAATTATTTGTTGCCGCTTTTCGGTGATGCTAATTGATTATTTCACTATGCTTACTTCGTCGAGCGGCTGTCATTACATATTTTGACAGTTATTATGTGTATTGAGATTTGTTTTAATAATAAATTTCATTGGTCACTAATTAAATTCATTTGTAGTAGTAATAGTAGTAAGTAATTTGTTGTAATAGTATAAAAAAGAGAGAGAGAGAGAGAAAGAGAAAGAAGAAAGAAAGGATCACTTATTTTTAATATCGCGGGAATGAAACGTCTATGTTCGTTAATTTCACGCGGGACTAACGCCGGAAATTTATTATGCGAAGATTCGTGCGCTGAATTTTCTTCGGCAGATTCCGGCCTCTTGTCCATTTGCGGATTAATTATGAAACTCGTCGTCGAGACTGCCTCGTCGTCGAGGACTTTAATTAACACGACGAGCATACGATTTTTTCAACCGTTTGTGTCTGTGCGAAAATCAAGGGAGATATGGGAGAATTCATGAACTATGCGGGCTTCTTCCTGCGATGCGTTTCTTGTTCGCGCGATGCTCGAGGGCGCGACTAGAGAGATCTCCGACGTTGGTACAATATCAACGACACAAAATGTTGGAACAAAAACGCGCAATCCATTTATGAATATTTTACTGTGTGACGTACTTTACTCTCCCTTTTCAGTAATGAGTAAAATGAGACGCCGCGTAAATAATTCAATGAACGTGTGACAAACAAGCAATAAACTAAACTATGAGCATAACAATGAACTAAACATGAATATAACAAAGTAATTATAACCACGACGCGAAACTTTCCTGTGGTCGTAGCATAGTTATAATTCTTCGTAAGGTTGTTATTTATGCGCGAGTATTTTACAAATATTGCAAATATTTAGATAATTTAATAGTTTCTCAACAGGGTAGGCTGATAGTTCAGCGTCAACAGCGCACACAAGACGGACCGCGCAGACGGACGGCACGAAAAATGAAATTAAGGTCCCGCGGAAGATGCTCGACAAAATTAATTAACGTTGCTTGGCGCTGTGCGTGTTATTTTCCTTCCTCTCTACCGTAACGAATTAATCCCGGCGCGGATCAAAGAGAAAGGCTACCTCGCGCTGATTCCTGTTTACAATTTGCGGAATCGCGAGAATTTCCAAGGGCAGATAAGGCGAATCTCACGAGACTGAAATTCCGAAGAGAGAACCGCGGTTTCGCTGCCATATTTGTTCTCATCGCGCGCCTTTAACCCGATGTCAGGCTGTATAACCAAAACACGTTATATCGCGTCTCTACCGCAATAAATTGCAAAGATTTTCCTATGGGATTACACCATCAAGTTTTATTAAAAATATAAAAGGGTCAGAGTAATTCGCGCGTCAGCATGAAATACGCCCAATTTAACAGGAAGAAGAAAAATTATTATGCCTTTCGATTTTTTTACATTTTACCATTTTATTATTACCATTTTTTTCTCTCTGTCATCAAAAAGACTGTTCGCCGTTCGAATTGCGTTACTTCCGTTTTTCTCTTTCATATTTCTTTTCGTTTTTTACATCGCTTCTCCTTTTATACATTAAATGCGAATTTTGTACTTTACATTGACGCAAAGATCGAGCGATCCGACGTAACTTTTCTAATTTGCGCGTGGAATTTCTCTTGTTTGATATTACTGGCACTTGGCAGAGAGGGAAAACTCATCTCTCTTTAGCCTTACGATAGTCGTAGCTGTCCGCTTCAAGCACGAGCTGTGCGCCTCGGCATTGTAATAATTATCGCTCGAAAGCCCATTTCTCGTCTCTGTCGATATCAATGCAGCCCGATAACTGCCGCCCGCGTCGGGAAGAGTCATTCGCGTACCCGCATCGAAGATGTCGGCGACGTTAATTGCAACTAGGACGACCCTTGGATCTTTGTAATTAAACGTTATATTGCTTCGAAGCAGAAAGGAGATACGACTGGCTGCGATGTATTTGATTACGTTCGCTGATGTTTTCGACAAAGATTTTAATTATAAATATCGACTCGTCCCATTTCTATTTTCTGCAATTGTAACGCGAAGATCTCATCGATTAATGATACTTTGAACATGTGGGACGCGATGTGTGTCCCTATTGGGAATTACCCTCTATTTCATTGTTCAATATAACACGTTTACATGCAGGATTTTATCTTCTCGCATATGTATATAGAGAAAAATGCGGGGGTTCCCATAAATTTCCCAGAGTCGTAAGACCAATAACGTAGCGTTTATCATCTGCGGTGTATATACACGTATATATACACGTATATATACACGAAAATACCCCCATCACGAATTTGCCCTCACAATAAAGCGGTACATTGCATTACGCGCTCGGAAATATCGCAGGCTTTATCGGTATTCATGAAAACTTTTTACTCAGCCAAAGATACGCGTTCGTAAAGTTTGTTTATATTTTAAAAACTATTCGATTATAAGATCTGTTTGTCAAAGAAGAATTGACTCCATGAGGATAGAGACACACATATACACACACACACACACACACACACACACCACGCGCGCGCGCGCTCTCCCTCTATTCTTGTTTTATCCTAAAAAGTTGTCCTGGCGAGTAAGTGGTACCTTTGGGGAACAAGCTCTGGATACACTATGTCTAAAGTCAGGCATGGAAGAAGTTCCGTAGGTCTCACCGGCGGGATGAGTAATGGGCAGGTCTGCGAGTACTGTAGCGAGCAGTTTGTCGTCGAAACTAACCAAGGTCCCTGGCAGCTCATTTCGTAGCAGGGCACGTAATTCAATTTCCATGTAGCGATTCCCCTGCCCTGGCCTCGTGCTCGTCCCTCTCGGCCCGAATCGGGCGAGAACCGAAATTATCTCCGGGCGTCACTTTGCCAGGCGCGAACGCATTCCCGGGATGTTTGAACGCGCCTCGAATGTCAAAGCGAGTCTATTATCACATCCTGTGCCTGCCTGCGGCTTGTCATATTAAACAAAATAACACTAATGAGATTATCGCCAATAATTTCGATTAGTCTCTGTTCCGATACTCTCTATAGTCTCATCCTATGCAATCTTTGTATCTGTGACTTCTATCTGTTCTTCTTTTCATCTGAATTTGTATAAATCTTCTGACACAATTATTAATGGGCTAGAGTATGTTATAAAACATTTCATTTGATCTCTGGAGTCTCTGGATACCGATGATGGTCCGACGTGAAAGTACGGGATTAAATCGAGTACTTCGTTGAAAGTGGTTTAGGGGGAGAAACGACGGAAGGATAATAAACGTGAAGGCGACGGTCCTTTTAATCTTGAGAGGATAAGAGTGCTCGAGAACGAAATCCGACGAGGATACTGAGAGGCATTGTTCATTTCGACGATATAAAATGGGATTGTGCGATCCGACGCGAACTGGCTTGACTTCGTTCTCTCAGAAGTGACTTTCCAAATATGCGGGGAATAAGATTTTCTCAGGAATTATAAGGGACCATCCTCCTCTTTTTCCGCCATAGTAAAAATCAAATAAAAAGGACAACTTCACTTTCTCTCTCTTTCTTTCTCTTGAAGAATCTCCGCTCTCATCGAAAATTCTCATCGTGAGATTTGACAGATTGATGATTTATTCCGGAAAGTTCGAATTGGATTGCGATATTAAAGATTCCGCGCACGGAATGATCCAAATGCGCATACGGAATGCGATAAGCATACTTCTCTGATATTTTTAAATGTAACGACGACCCGTAGTTGAGATGGCGAGGTTTCTTAATTACTTCCCTCTTTTTTCCGGCATACGATAATCTTGTTGGTATAGTTAACTGTGCACGATCTACGAATCAAAGGGCCATCGGAATTTTTTACAATTCAATTTGTCAATCGAATCTGGCGCGTGGATGGGACCCGTTAAAAGTTTCGCCACGCTCTTTTTTCTCGAATACGTCCCGAGCTCGCGTAATCGCGTTTGTCACGCGAGAACCGATGCTGAGCGGGACGCTATTGCGAATAAACGTTACGAAGTGATTCCAATTAAGGGCCATTATAGGGTCGTTAATAATGGCGCGCGGCGCACGAGGTCGATAACGTTGTTTGGTAGAGTGCGCGCCAGCTGTAACGGATTGCGAGAGACCGTTACGAATCTCAGCGTCGTTAAGTCCCAGTGACTTACGTTATTTATGAAACTGTATAATTTTTTAATATAAACCAAGCCTTCGCAGTGTTTCGCGCGGGAAGCATTAAAATCCTCGAAAAATAAAAAACTTTACGAGATATTTCATAAATTTTATTCTGACACATTCTGCCACTTTCTCGTGGAATATTATTCTCATGTGATTTTAACAGACTCGTGTAAGATATTTTTTCGAAGGATAATTAACATCGGATTGTAACTCGTCTGAATGTGTCTGGTTCATAATAATTAAAAATTAATTCTAATTCTCACTACTCTGCGGAGGATAGTTTTTTTTAAAATGCCGTCTGGATTTTTTTCAGGATGCCTAATGAGAACGTGTGTGCCTGTGGCGTAGTCGTGGATCTACCGAAATCACGAAGTTCGGTCATCCAGGGAAAACTGACAATCCTCCTGCCCAAGACGAAGGGCAACAAGTCGGAGGGGAAGGGCTCGCGAAAGCAACCCGATGACGGACGAGTACCAAAGACTCGTACGTCAAACGAGACCGGGAGCAGCAGCACGGTGACGGAACCCGCGAGGTCCACGATGAAGAGCAACAAGCACGAGAAGCGGCTCACTCACTCGCGGAGGACTCGAAGCGCTGACAGAGCCGAGTCGCATTACACTTACATCGGTCAGTCAGTTCGCGTAATTATTAAGCACAAATTTCATTATCATGCAGATGTCGAAATAATAATTATTCTGCACGGAAAGAACGATTTTGCTGGATACAGATCTGAAAATAATTCCTGTTGGACTATCCAAAATAATTTTGTTGGACAGTTAAAAATGATAAGCATTCCACTTTCTAACATAATTATTTTGATATTCTAGCAATCAGTTTGACTTTCCAACAAAAATTATTTTCAGGTCTGCATCCAGCAAAATCGTTCTTTCTGTGTGCAGGAATATCGTGTTCGAATTCTAAAGTAGATTTCTTCGAAAGTAGCTAGATGAAAATACATATAAAGTATATGCGACGCGCGAAAGCTCGCTGAGAACAGGGAAAGAGATAGAAAAGAACGTTGCAATCTTCTGTTTTCGACACTTCGCAGATTCGGGCTCGAGTGTCCTCGGCGGTGGGATCCGTGAGAATACCATACCGGAAGCGCTATACGCCACCATACCGGACACCGTGCCGAACGTGATCGTCACCGAGACCGGGACGAGTCGGTCGAATTCGCAGAGCAGATCGCAACCTCTTTACTCCGCTATTCCGTCTATGACGTCGCCGCCGCCGACGTACGACGTCGCGATTGCAAAAACGTGGCAGGTAAGATTCGCCGCGGTTTATTATCCATTATTATGTTTTTCTCTTTCTGCTTTACGTTGATGTGGAGTAAATAAGAGAAGCGCCGCTAATGATATTGCTACGTTTTCCCCTCCATCGCATAGCCGGGAGCTAAATTCAATAGTAAATCATTTCGTAATAATTCCTGCTCGGCTCATGACATCCGAGCTAATTTTCGCGAAATTAAACACGTATACGTACACAATACGCGAAGCAACGTTAAATTTATTACCTCCTAATTTAAATTTAATATAATAATAACGTAATAATGGATGTAGCATCTTCATAAATTAAAATTTCAAATATTTCAACGTTAATCCGTGCTTACTAAGACTATTTATTTTAATTAAGCCTATTATCTACATTTCTCGTTCTACATATAACGTTATAAATCCTACATCGTGTCATGTGTGTCCCAAATAACAGAAATTAAATTCTTTGATATAAATAAAATATGAGTAATCATCAATTGGCATTGTAATCGATCTTTTAGATTGTTGATCTGTTAGCTTATTCGACTCGCAATTTGCACTTTTGAAAGTTTAAAAAACCCCTCTGTTGCGATCGTCGGAGTTGAGATCATCATTGCTACCGTCCGAAACAGCGTTTCTAAACGTAACAATACTGACCACTGCATCCATCTCGGGAAACTGGTTTAATAAATAATTCTACATTATTACTTGTCTGCCTTTCCAACAAGCTATTATTTCAACGAAGATAATATTGCGCAGTTACCGTCTACACAATGAAGTTTCAGAGCGTGTACAAACGGACAGCAGTTCCGGACAGCGGTCAATATTCTACAATGGCCACAATCGGCATTCGGTCATTTGTAAGAGCGTAACGCTCGTAAAGCAATAACAGCTGGTCGGACAATAGTTACAAATTGTCATCGTTGCCCCTCGCGCTTTAAATGATATAACCGGAATATTAATTCGCGCAATCGTAGATACTCTGTACCGCGCACGCTGATATAACGGCCCGGCCGCGACACATGCAACGTATAACGTATCAACGACGATATACCGGTACACCTCGGCTGGATTCCGATAAAGCCGGTTATTCAATCACATAATATCTCGAGTTATCGAAACGAATTATCGCTCCGTCCTGCGGGTACGCGGTCGCAGTAACTCTTGCAGGAATGCCGTCCGTCACTCGATTTGTATTCCGCTGCGCAATTCCGTGACGAGCAGATGACGAGGAAATTGGCAGCGATCTAACAATCAGCCACCTCCCGCGGAACGTCCCGAAGATCGATAATCGGAACGATGCACAGCCTGCAGCAGACTGGAGCATTGTAAACGATCGCGCGCGCGATCGGTGCAATCGCAAATTGGCCTTTTGTGGGCCGCCAAATGAGTTATTAGTAATTGCTAATTAGCCGATTCTGACGATCGTACGACTGGCGGGACGTCTGTAGATGTCGCGGCCGTATCGCGCAAACAACGTGATCCTGCAATAACAAAAATTGCGCTTATCAAGCTCTTGCAAGATTGTTTTCGTGAAAAAGAAAAAATTTATTTTAAACATGGCAACGGCGTGTTTAATAAATTGCGGCAAAACCGCAAGCGAGGCGAAGAAAAACAACGAGCTAAAAACATTAGGATACATTTTTATAATTATAATCACGAAGTCTTCGAGAAAAAAAATTACGTATTTCAAGCACGTGCGTTTATTTGATTAGATATCGATATCCTCGTGTATCTGTTGACATGTATATATAAGATAATGCAATAAGACGTCGAGTGACAATATTTTCTGTTATATAATAATAATATGTAATTTTTAGAATGACAAACACTGATGTCATTATTTCTTTACATTGATCTCGAAATAACAAAATATTTATAATAAGCACAAATACAGTGATATATTTCCGATATCAGCAGCTTATTAGCTGGTGCTAATTTAGTTTATAATTTAATTATTACGCGGAAAGGACGGTGGAAGTATCTACAAATGTAGCTAGATGTAGAAAATAATTTTGGAGATAATTATGTAGGACGCTCAAGTTGATTGTCAGAATGTCAAAACTTTTTGCAGCATTTTGCAGCATGATTGCTCATCATGCTTGAATTTTCTAAACAATTATTATGGTTCAACAAAATTATTTTCACAGATCTGCTAAATTATCTAGATAAATTTTATACTTTAATAAAATCGTTTTTTTTTATGTACAGATAAAGTGGACGTGCTTATACATATTTTTTATGTTCCTGATATAATATGATTAATATGAACGTAACATCTCGAAATATCTCAATTCGATTTAATGTTTGGTCTATATAGCGATTGTACGGAACAGATCCGGAATAAGTTATACGAAAAGCTTGTCAGACTATTTCGAAACTCTGTTTATCGTTTCGCATAAGTCCCAGTTGTGCATACAATGTGTTGGCAGGTCATATCTCATGCCGTTTTACGTACGTCTTACGTACATTTTACGTACGTAAAATACACGCGCGAACGTTAAATATTATTCGGAGAATTTATTACGCAATGACGATAACTGATGACGATACCGTCAGGATTGATGTTCCCGACATTGCGCGGAAATGTATGACGTCGAAACATCCGTTTCATCTTTCATTTCCCAATCAATCTGATTCTGCGCATGTATGTCTACGATCCAAATTTACGCAACAATTTCCGTCGTGGCACATTAGTTTACATTAATTCCAAAATATTCGAAATTTCGAAACTTTTGATTATTTTACTGTTTTTTTTTACTCTGTTAACAATTAACAATGTATTACACTACAAGTTTTTGCGGGTAATATCGATCCGCAGCGATGTAATAAGAAAATTTTGTTGATACTCTCGAGCGTGCACAAAACATGCATTTGTCAGTTTATGATGAATTCGATTTGGGAAATTCACAGACCGGAAATATCAATACACTGTAGTTTTCATATAAAAAAAAACTTGTATGTCCAAAAAATTTGGATCAAAACAATTTGCGAATGTATCAAGTTTCATCGATAAGTCCGTTACAGAGAAAAAACCTTCATGTTATATACTGTTTCGATGTACATATTTCAACCATGTATCAGCTTATGAAGAATACAGCTATTTTTGAAATTTTCTCAAATATCAAAGTTCGCCGAATTATTCTACTAGTATTATTTCCGGTAAAACGCCGAAAACTCTGAGCAATATGCGAGTAGTACTGAATTTAAAAATGGTAAATTTCTAATACCTGCTTTTGACACGTTTTGATCGAATTTCTTGAAAAAAAGATAAAACTTCTATCTTTTTCTATCCAGTTTTTAAAAACTGGAAAAATTGATTAATATTATTACTATCTTTCGTAATTTATTTAAGTACGAAAAAATAAGACAAACGATTAGCAAACAATTTGTTTTGCAGCAGATTTTCTTATACATTACACATTCTTCAGATGATTTTACATAGCTAATAATAAACATTTCAATGTACATACACTATAAGACATGCGCTATTATTCTAACATCTGTGAAAAATAAAAATGAAAGCAATAAACTTCTAACATCTGTGAAAAATAAAAATGAGAGCAATAAACATCAATATGACATTTACGGTGATATAGTGCTAGAAAATGCAATTAAACCTCTGTACGCCGTTCGATCCACAATCTGTACATTAAATTTCGGCATGCTCGGCGACCCAATTGTTCAAGTTTGCTTCGGTCACGTTCCTTCGAAGAGATTCACCATCTCAAAGAGGAGTCGCTTTATCGAGGCGAGTGACTGAGACAGGAACAACGAGGTGGAAGAGAGAGAGAGAGAGAGAGAGAGAGAGAGAGAGGAGCAAATTCAATGTACGGCTTCTTAACTCGAGGACCATTCTAATCCGGTTGGCTGCCCAATTCCGTCACGTATATAGTTCTCTATATAGTTCTCCGGCGCCGACTGGAACATAAATTCTTCTGTCATGTTATCCTATAGTTGCCGCCTACCATCGTCACCGTCAGAAAGTTGATGTACTGCGTCGAAAAATTAGTGCTGAGCGTCACGAGTTCGTGATACATCTTATTTTCCAAACTCTTGTAGTACGACGACGGTACGACGGCAGCTCGAATATCGAATGGAAAGATAATCTGTCGAAAAAGAGATAACGCGCGCGTTTATGTCATCACGTACTCTCTAAAAGTGAATCAGTGGAATCACTGATTGTCAGTATATATATATATCATTTTCCAATGGTTCAATATTTAGAACTGTGATAAACAGTGACTATTTCAATGTCGCTTCAGTGATAATATACTGGTTCAAACAGTGAATATTACTGAAAGATGGTGTTTGAATCAATATATCTATTATCACTGAAACGACATTAAAATAGCTACTATTTTATCACAGTTCTAAGTATACCATTGGAAAATGATATATACACAGACAATTCAGTGATGACTCCACTGATTCACTTTTAGAGAGTAGTTCGGCAATTTTTATTTCTCGTACAAAGATCATCAATATAAGTTTATTGAACTCTCGGATAGACAAATTTTATGCTAGTACCATTTATTTTAAAAAATCTATCTTTTACATCTTAAAATTGATGTCCTTTGTAAAGAAGAGTAATAAATGATGATGAGAGATTTTTGTGGCAATGCAATCTTTTAAAATGTCGGAATAAAATTCCAAATCTCGTATGGCGTCTTCTTTTATATTTAATATTTTAACGGAAAGATCGATATTATTTGTTTGATGAAATGAAGTGTGAATAATGATTGCGTATTATTCCGCAAAATCGATTTGTCCAAATGACATTGGTGTATACGTTGAAGAAGAAGCTCGAGGTCAGAGAATAATCGCGCTGTGTGATTTTTAAACCGGCTTCCTGTGTGTCGCGATAATGAGAAGGCTCCGTTTGCACTTAGCTGCTCCAAAATGAAGAGGTCGTCAAAGGAGATCGCGAAAAAGAGTTGAAATTGTTCTCGGGCTGAAACGTCGAGCAGCAGTGTCGCCCGAGCGAGCACGCGCGAGCTCGGAAAGTGCTCGTATGAAATGCAAAACCATTCCGGGGAAGTTCACTACGGTACGCACGGCTAAATTGTGCGGCCTGATAAAAGAAGACTCTCGGAAAAACATTCTCGAGACCGTAATTGTGGATCATATATCTCACAGAAAAGAGAGAGAGAAAGAGGGAATGTAGTTGCTCGTTAGCCAACCTATGACCGCTGTGTTCTTAGATCGTTTATATAAAAGAAAGAACATTATTTTTCCCTAGATTTTTCTCGGTAGAACTACTTTATGTGCGTTGCGAGGAATATGGTTTAAAGCATTTCAGAATTTTGTCGTTGTCTCTAGTACTTACTTTCTACGTGCACTTTGCATTTAATTTACGCAGTGCTTTTGAAACAATTTCGGTCAGTGAAATGTGAATCTCGCGTTCAGGGCGATTTTTCAAGATTTCGATGTCTTCTGATTTACAAAACACGGCCGATCGTTCGCAAGAGATTAAATCACAATAGCGGCCAAATAGACGTTCAATTCATTTGGTGACCGAAAAAAATTTATATTTTGTATATTTTCCCCGGCCCTTGTGCTCCAGAAAGAAAAGGAGTAGGCTTTTCTCTCGAGAACTCTCGAGCTTACTTCGCAGGGTCCTTTAGTGGTTGTTTCCATTCATGAGCCGCAGACGCGCCAGGCACTCGCGCCTTCTAATTTGAATAACAGCCTCGCCTTTACTATTTTCCCGCGAGGCCGCGGAGCTACATTGTGCCCGCGGGAGTCACCCATTTGTCAGGCGGCCCCTCGCGGGAAGGCGCAAAGAGGTTCCTTCGGACGGTGCCGCGTGGGACGAGAAAATCCTTTAGCGAGCGAACGAGCGCGTGATTCAGCTCACCGCAATTACCGAGGAAACTGACGTGTTATCATCCCTGCGAACTTCCGGGAAAACTCAGTCTCACGAGCCCCTCTCGCCAATGAAGTTTCCTCGGCTATCGTGAGATCGTAATGAAAATTCCGAGAACTTCGGGATATTGATACCGGTTAAGGATTAATTATTAATCGGATACGCGGCGTTTACCGGATATTAGATGATGGTTTCACTGAATCCTACATTTCTGATTACGCGTCGACTTGTTGCAGACGCGTCGTCATATCAGCGGACTGAAAATTTCATACCCGCGCAATATGTTGGCGCGGGTGAGAAGCCGCGATTAAGCTGCCTTTATTGCGACAAGAGCGTTTACATTAAAGAACGGCGCGGTTTTGAATATTTAGGCGGAGAGGTAACGTGTAATACTCCGGGGCTTCATGGAACTGCTCCGCAGTTACAGAATGTATAAGATATATATTCTCGCGAGCTGCTCTCGCGAACAGCTCTCGCATATTAATTTCACCGCGTGAGTTAGCCCAAATGATACAAGCGGCGTAAATGATGAAGCAGGAACGAAGGCTGGTCACGGCTGCAAGAGATCGGGAGATGAGAAAGAGAGAGAGAGAGAGAGAGAGAGAGAGGGGGGGGAAAAGATATGGACGAAAGAGAAGATATAAATGTAATGGAAAAATAAAACCAGCTAGGTAGGAGTGGATTAAATTGGTACAGCCTGCGAAAGGGAGGAGAGACGAGATGAGCGAAAATTAGTGCGAGAAGGCGAGTTACGATACAATAAAGAGATCGCATGAAACGAAAATGAAGAGCGAAAATTGCCAGTCAAGCAACGATGATGAAAAAGATTTACAACATTTATCTCCGTAGGGAAAACATTTCTCGCTGCCGCATCTCGCACATGTAATTTGTAATCGTCGCAAGGGTAAATAGAAAAAAAAAACGTTGTATTTATCCTCGTTAATTAATAATTTTTCAAATTGAGATACATTAATTAATTAGTAGAGCTCACATAGTGTGTAAATACGAAATTAAAACGAACGGAGTAATTACAAGCGAAATAATGCGTTTGCATATTGCAAGACCGATGCACGTCGAACGATGCACGTTGAAAAATCGCGCGCATCATATGCAGAATTGGAGACAATTTCGCCGAGATCTTTTCGCACAGACAGCATTTTCGGGAGAAACATAATCATTTTCTGTCCCGGAGCGAAGCTACCGCGGACGGAAAAACGCAACCACGGGGGCTCTGGGCGATCCTCTTAAACGAACGCCCGAGGGCAACCACGCTCGTCTCACGCTAGAAAATGGAATCACAAGATAATAATCCCGAAATTCAATTTCACTCTTCCTCCTCGTCGAGTAGAAGGCCGTGGTTGTCGGCGTTTGACTTCGTCAAGAGTGAAGGTCGTGAGAATCGAAAAGTCCTGCCTGCCCGAGTTGCCCGACTCGATTCGACAAAAGCGATCGCGCGGGGGAGCTCCACGTGTTGGACTTCTGATTCTCATCTCACGGTTTCATTCTGCCTCATGACTCTTTTATTCTCGTATATCGAATATTTTCGCAACTAGACTAGCAAGAGAAATTCCCGAACGGGAAGAAAGAGAAATTTTTCGATCAATTTGCTGGAGATGTACTCGTGGTTTCATTACGATCCTTGAAACGAAACGACAGCTATGCCATTGGCATACCGACAACTTTCTCGATGTGTTTCATTTTCAGAAAGCATAAAATATCTCTCACGATGGAATACATATTTATAGCCCAAGTTTCCTGACATTCGATAGAGTGTAGATTCGCGGATATAAAGAAGTGCATCGTATGTTTCCATTTGCAGATGACATCTATGTTACTATACACATATATAGATTATACTATACTATTTCTTCCCATTTAAATTTTCATCCCTTCCACGCTAGAATATAAATTGGACTTTTCTTGATTATTATTGACTCAATTCCATCTTTTTCGTACCTCTAATAAAAATATAATATTTAATATGAAATGTAATATTAATGTAAAAATGTAAAATATTTTCTAGACTTTCTAAATATTTCTTATTAAAAATTATTTTTCGCTGAAATATTCCTTTATCAAGATATTCTTAAATAATTAGATTGTACTTAATATTGTTGAATGATTTATTTGAATTTGAAGCATGAAGATTTATAATTTCTAATTTAATACTTTTATTATATAAATAAATACAGAGAGAAATTTTAAAGAAACATGTTTGTCACCATTTTTTCATATATAAGCTTGGTTAATTTTTAGTCTTTTAGAAAGAAGGTAATTTTTAATTTTAAAAATGTTTAATAAAATATGTTACATGCGAAAACTGCGAAAAGTCATTTCTGCGTAAAACCTTAATAGCATAAAGTTAGCATTAAATACAAGAGCATTACACGACAATTAGACGATTAAACGAGAGTCGACACCTTTTGCGAGGCACGCAAAAGGAGAGAACATATGCTTGCAAGCTCCCTCAAGCTTTCACGATATAATGTGCGAGGCAAGTCGGCCCGATGAGAAACGAGAGAAGTTTTTCCGCCGCGTTTTACGCCGTGGCTGAAAACCGCCGCGGTCGGTTCAAGAGGAACATTAAAAAACAGTTCGCGGCTTTATTATAATTTTCAACGTGAGATAATGGACATTGAAAAATGTGGAACTGATTTACGCGGCTAACTTCGTTACGCGAGTTTGCGTTGATGAATTAATGCGAATTACAAAAGTTTAACTTTTGATAAAATTATAGTAACAGCAAATGCGTTATTTACAAACAGGATTATTCTCGTTATTATCGTTCGAGAATGATCAGTATTAGTATTGGTTGTATTCAAATTATCAAAGTGCTCTATGAAACTATTACATCAGAAAGATCGAGGCGTTCACGGATCAGACGGAGAGTCCTTTATTTTCCTTGAGCTAAAAAGGATCGCAACCGCAGTTTTATTTTACGAATCATTATTTCTCGTATCTGAAACGCGATACCAAAGATCAGGTGTCGGAACCACAGTCATGCAAACATAATGGTAAGTAACTACAACCTGGGAATCGGAGTTGCGGATAGAGTAACGTGACCCTAATGCAACCTCGCGAGCAGTGGGAGATTTCTGAAGTTACTGTTAATTAATTCTGTTAATTAATCAAAGACTAATCTCACGGCTCTTTATTAAACAAAATGGAATATAGGAGGGTGGAAATGTTATAACTCATTAGCATATTCCAATTTCGTTTATCGCTTCAGATTATAGTAATTAATTATTAACAACGATATTTCTAATTATGAAACTATATTAAATATAAAACAATAGATTTGTTAGGGACAAACAAGCAGTCACAAAAAAACAGTGCTTTTTATATCGAATCTGACACTAGTTACTTATCTCGGAAACAGGTTTTATGTGAAACCGTCGCAAATATCCTCCCACGTACAGCGTAATTTAAAAATTCTTTTTTTGGAGATTGTGACACATGCAGTTTTTATATATAATATATTTCACGCTTAAAACTTTGCGTACTACGTATTTTAAAATGTAGTTGCAAATAAATATATAAGAATATAAAATAATTGTATGTAAACCCCTGTAAAGCATTCGCACAAATTATAAAAATAATTTGTTGTATGCTAATTATTTGAGTAAATAATTTAATTTAATAAAATAACGCCTAATTTATTTTTTTTAATTTTTTATTTATTACACTTGTTAACGTCCAGAATAGCAAACTTACAAATCCAAGCGCTAATATCTTTCTTCCTTTCTCTGTATTATGTGCATTTGTGTATGCAACTAGATATTTTGCAGTAATTACAAAATTATAAAAATTATTATCTGTATCTTTTCTTTATTAATTATGAGACACATTTTTTGTTTTGCAGACCGGTCTACCACCGACGTACGAGGAGTATCTCTATCACAAGTACGCGATGATGTCACGCTCGCATACTCCTCCGCCACCGTGGTCCGACTCGACGACGACGACGACAACGTCGACGTCTAACCCGTCTTCAAGTATTCAGGCACGACGCGAGCTCTTGGCCAGCCAGCCCGAGCTCCGCGAGTATCTAACGCAGCTGACGCTAAGCGATCGTGGCTCGCAATATCAATATCAACAGCAGCGACAACAATCTAGAGACGCTACCTGCTCGGTCCCGAGGGAACAGCAGGTCAGAGTGCAGCAGCAACGTGCGCGGGCAATGCCTCTCAGGTGAGTAGTCAAACAGACTGGTGTATAGTAAGGACCTCGGCTGTCGTGTTCTCGTATCTCCGGGTTTGTATCGCCCGCGGAATAATTCACGTAGTTTCCGGGGTGGCCATATGCGAATACGAGACCGCCGGGAGTTAGCCCGACTCGGGATGTACTCGGCTACCCCGAGACATTTCGAGGTGCTGAGAACTAGCAGCAGGTTCAAAGTGGTTTAGAAAAATGGCCGAGGCAGCGATTATGCAAATGCTGCAGAACGTCCCGACTCATTCTCTGGGTTTCTCCTCTGTTGCAGTCGAGCAAATTAAGGCGAAAATGACAAGAATATAATTTCCAAGTTTTTTCTAAAACTTGGCACAGACTTGTATTTGTTCTCGAGCAAAATGTTCGAAAATGTTATCATTAATTTTATCAAAATTATATAATTTAAAGAGTAGAATAATTTTTCTTCTATTTATTTCTGTCTATTTATTCTGCTATAATTTTACACACTAAGATTTTACAGCTTAAGTATTTTTGGCTACTATTTTCCAATTGGAAAAAAAAATTTGCTTTCAGATCGCAGAGCGAAAGTCGAGCGCAACAGCAACGAATTGCGGCGATGTATACGGATGCTGCGTTTTGCATGGAAACCACAGTACTGCAGTCGGCTTTCGATTCCGGCCAAGGATTTGCCCTCTGCAGCTTGATGTAAAAGGACCGAGCAGCTTCACTTCGAAAGTTGCAGGAAGGCTGATACCATCATCAATCCACGATCGAGTTCATCCGCGAATGTTTTTCTTGATAGTTGAATTGCGTCGCAGAAAGCGTTTGCGAAACCACTCGACTGGATTGATGACGTATTAGCCTATACTCGCAATTCATGTACGCAACGAGATGCAGCGTTGTTGAAACATCGCGTCTCGGTGCTTTTATGAATTTAATAAATAAAGCCTCATAATTAGTACCGATTCCTGATAGTAAAATATCATTGCCTCATAAGTACATGTGAATATGTAAGTATTAAATGGTATATCGATTCCTAAATGGTATCTACTTGAAAGTATCAATTCTCTATAATATTATTTTCCGGATGCAATCGGTATTACAATTCTACGCACTTCTTTACGCTAGGTATCTAGGATACGTTCGTCATTTATAACTATAATTGTCACTGTTAAAAATATCTGTTAATTTTTAATTTAATTTTTATAGACAACTACGAAAAAGGAAAAGCAAGGAAATATGTCTATATATATATGTTCATAAACAGATATTTAGATATTTAGAATAACTTTTAGAACAAAAAAGTAATAATAATTCACAATAAAATTAAGCTATTTCGCAACATTTTCTATAATATGAATTATAAGATTGAAACTTTTTGAGAAAAATTATTCTGAGTAAAGAAATGTGCACTCTTTCTTTTATAGAATAAAAGTCGCCAAACGACGAGTTTCGATACTTGCTATCCAATTCTCGCTCTCCAAACGATAGTGATGTTTGACGCCAAATAGCTCTTCCAGGTCTTTTACCTGAAAAAGACACAGCACAAGCAACGAGGCCGTCGAACACACATGAGAAAGCAAGCTTTGTATTCGCAGGAAATCAGAATTTGCGACAACGTGTCATAGAGCAAGTTTCGCTTTTTTTTCGTGTGTCCATAAAGGAAATGAGGAAATCTGGTGACCCGAACCGATCAGAGATACCGAGGGCAATTCGACAGGAGATAGATCAGGTACACGATTTTGCCGTTTGCTCCGTTCGGTCACATAAGGAACAAAGACGGATAACGAACACGGATAATTTTTTCGGATCGACGAATAGAGAGACATTTCTAGCTTTTCGGACGAACGATAGTTTCAGTCGGTCTCTGCGGGTCGTATAAGCATCGTATATTGAAACACAGTTTCAATTTTTCAAACGCTATGGAATTTCTCTGTCGGACGACGATTGTGGTCACTATACTTCTTTCAAAAGAAAAAACTATTTCGCGTCAAACATCATATTCAAGAATGAAAATTAAATATTAAGTCATATGATGACTTTATACAATCTCATTTTCTGGAATTATAATTTACATTAAATCCAATTTACCCGTTAATTCGACAGTTTCATAATTCGTAAAATAGAGAGCGTTGCGGAATGAAATTCCAAAAGCGAGAATTAATAATAGAATTTTATTTTTTATTGAACTGAGGAAAAACTTTATCACGAACGGAATTTAATTTGAGCTTTAATAACTACGATATTCAATGTTATAAACTGGAAAGTTAGACATTTAATTCGAATCTCAAATTAATTTTTTTTTCTACAAAAATACGATTCTCCTCCTTCGCGACAAATAATTGCTGTTCTGATCATTTTCAATTACATAGAAATATGTAGAAATTATTTTAGCTGTATTTTTTTGCGTTGGGTGATTTATAATTGCAATGATAGTAACTAGAAAAAAAACTTGTTAGCGAAGCTATTTTTCATTTCGTTTATTATACTCAGTTTTAAACTGTCGTTTTTAGTGTTTAGCTGAGACAATTTATAAATAAGCGAATGCTCTGCGGGTATTCGATATTTAACATATACAGTCCTAACAACATACAAAACAGAAAGTAGTATGTAAAGTTGATGTGATGATTAATAACGTGTTACGTAGCGTAGCGTGATTACGATGCGTGCGCGTCAAAGTAACGCGCGAGTATCGCGTTAAAAGTCACTATCATAGGCGTAATAAAATAGAAGAAGTATATAGTTTTTAGTCAAATGTGAAATTCATGCACTTATTAAGTTCAAGTTAAGTGTACGTCACGAGCGAATCGCATACGTTATTTTCTCCTACTATCTTACAATTAGGGTTAAAAATCGAGTGGAGCAAAATTTAGTATTATATTTAATCATAGTATATATATGTATAAAAAGTTAGGGATGTATAGATCGCATAACTTTCGTATCGCAACTCATCGCAACTCGTAAATGAACTTGTCACTGTGTAACGTAAAATATATTTAAGATACGGAAAGATTTTCGTTATATCGAAATTTTTCCATCGGTTTTGTAATGTTTTTCTATCGACGAGGTATTGAAACGTGCAAAACTAAGGACTGATACTCGCCATGGGACAGAATGATACTGGTCACATCAATACAAGTGTTATCTCTTTTTTTTTCCTTTGTTATTTTATTTTACGCATACATGTGCATACATACACACACACCACACATATACACACGTACATACATACACACGTATATGCATACAAAACATATTATATATTTTATATGTATGTACACTTTGTGATTAATTGTAAATATCGTGAAGAGTACTGTTATGTGTGTAATTTAATTCTAGATAAATCTAGGGTTAATGCGTAAACGGAGTATATTGCTAATTTAATAAACCGAGCAATCTTGCCTTCCGACTAACGGAAACAGAGAGAGTTTATTATATCGGTCCATCGACAATGTATAACGAACCGAGCTACATCGCTATTACCTCATACAGTGTATATGTTATGTATATTATGAATGTTAGAGGAGCAAGAAATACAAAATGTATCCGATGTAAAAAGTACTCCCTGAGCACTGATTATTATTTTCCCGGCTCTCGTTTATCTTATAGACTCAAGGTACATACAGGAAGCATTTTGAAATGCAGCCACTTCGAAATACCAATTACGAGACAATTTCGAGTGTTTATTTTCTCCGGTGATAATGAATGAAGTAACTTTCCCAGAAAAATATGACGTTCGTCTAGATACCGAAAATTATATTTTGCCCAGAATAAAATCACTGACGTCAAACATCACGAAATAAACGCTGTCGCATTATAATCTGCGCCCGATGACTTGGGGTTGCAAGAGATCTTATTGCAAGTAATTACTCACGAAGATGAATTACAAAAATACAACTAATTACATAGGAGGCATGGCCCGTTTGACCGAATAAATATCAACTTTTTATCGCGGCGTGTTTAACCTCTTGACTGCTACATTTCGAAGTTCAACAACCAAGTGACGAAGTTGCACAAAATGCTTTGTAACCGCAGTAATCGAGCGATAACACGTCGTTCGTCATTAGCAACACATTTTTTTCACATGAGATCCCAACGGTTTTACTGTTCTTGTACTCCGGGAAGTACGCTGACTCACGCGAAACAAGAAGAGGAAGGAAATTTTGAAACTGCGCAATCTGATCGCAAGCTGTTGCAGATTTAACAAACAAAAATTAAGAAACAGAATAAATTTAATCAAATCATAAAATATTATTGACTTAACATTGTTAAATTAATATGTAACGCAATTTACACTTTAAATTATTGCAATCATCATATCAAGCATAAATACTGATAAAAAATCACTATCGCTATGATTATTATTACAAACGAATAAATCACATCGATATATAGCTGTTTTCTTTTTACTGTTTAAAATTTTAAATGTAACACTTAAGATGTTTTGTAGTTTCATCTAAATTTTATCATTTAAAAGTAACTATATCTTGCTATTAATAATAATACGGTAAAATATGTAAAAGAGACATCGTTGTAGAAAGGCGCAAAAATTATTATGTAAGAATAATTGCATTAGTCACTATGCAGTTAAAAATCATAATGTTAGTGTTATCAATTAAAATTAAATAGTCAAATAAAGTCAAATAGAAAGGTGACTTGGAAAAAAGAATATGCCATCAGAAGCAACGAGCTATTCCACAGATGTGGCTAACTTACATAGAACTTACATAGAACTTTCTGTATAAATTCAGCAAATTTATTTTTCGAAAAAGTGTTTGATACGCCGATTTCTATTTTTGTTGTAAAATCCGGTATTTACCCGAGTATGTCGCAATGACGATGACAATCTTCGACGATCAAAACAGATTAAAATTCCGAGACCTTCAGACCGTTCGGAGTGCGGAAGATTCTCTCCTCCGGCGGGAGTTCGCCGATTTTGTACCTCTCTAAAGTTGCCCTGGCGACGGCGGAATGCCCTGTGCCAACGAACGCCAAAGTCGCGTCTCGTCCAGCGTATTCCAGGAGAACGTCCTCACCGCCCGGGTGACTCTTCAGAAACTCCGTGCAATCGTACACGTAATCGTAGATCACGAGCCAGCAGTCGCCGGGCGTGTCGTGGTAGGCAACCTCGGCCAAATTGATTGTCCGAAGCTCGTCGCGCGACTTTTCCTTCAGCCTGCACCTTTGCTCTCTGATGGTATCGTTTCTCTCCGCGACACTATCACGCTCGACCTGCAAGAAGTCCTCCCTCGATGGATTTACGTCTGCCAAGTCGAGGGAGCGGAAGGTCAGGTTTACGAAATCCATGCTACTATCAGTTTCAGAAGCGAACGTTCTGCAACATCAATAGAGAAATTTTGTTACTTAGATAAATTCAAATAGAATTTAATTGTGATATATTGTAAATATATTGCTTGTAATATGTATATATTTCCAATAATCATGCATGTTTTTTAACTTTTTGCACAAATGTTTTTTTATTATAATTCATTATACATTATGTGTTGTCTTGAATTAAAGATCTCAATTTTTCAAATAATTTAAAAATTAAATTAAAATTATATTAAAAAATTTAATAAAAATAAATTAAAATTAAATATTCTGTATATTGTCAATCAAACATTTATCAGATATAATATTACATAAATCAAACAATAACACGACTACATTAAGTAAAACATTACATTTTTTTATTTTGCATTTTTCTTCGTACTCTAACTAACACGCATTTGTTTCCATTCATATTTACACATCCAAAAATACAATAAACGATTATTGATTGCGTTTCAATCGACAGAGTAGGATGACAGCGCTATGATAAAGCAATATTTGCAGTAGCGAAAAGTTGTGAACAACTGCACCGTTGAGAGTACATTATTTTGCAAAAATGACTAGTGACAGCTGAAAAATACGAGCGCGCGAGCGAGAGCACCGGAAGTATCGATTGTATCGATTGCGGAAGTAAACGGGATAGTCTATACGTATACCGGTCAACACTTCCGCGCCAGTTTACGGTATAACGTTTAAACAATTCCAAGCACGATATATTCGGAGAACGAATACTCGTCACACGTTAAATTTACCTATAGCAGCGTTTCTGTTGATGATGTCTGTCAAGGGACATCGTATGTCACACTGAGACAGAAATCAATTCCCCCGAGAAAGGAGAGTAATTCTATTAGATACTGGTTGAAATCTGATGCGTGCGCATACATGAGGTATTTTCTTGGTCGCGCAGCATGCACCGTGATAGTTGAACATGTTGCTTATTGTTAGTCCAGAACCGGATTACAATCTACATGTAGATAAGCTAGGCTCGAAAATAAATATCGCTTCCCTTCCTAGGAAACTCCCGTCAGTGAAAAGAGTGAAAGATAAAAACGCAGAAATTAATGAAACTCTAGAAAACTCTAGAACTTTGAATTATTGGAGACGTACAGTCGTGAATCTTACCGGCTCGTATAACCGTTGCTCCGATTCTCCTTTCGGCGAAGTGTAATAATCTCCCATGGGAATTCCAAACAGTCTGACAATTTGACTCGCACTATTCGCAGTTCAGAGAGAGAAAGAGAGAAAGAGTGGCACTTCAGCACCGCAACGCTCTCACTAAACTCTGACAAGCCACGCGCAAGCGTCGATTGACGATTTTGTTTGTGATTTTATTTTTATTCCACAACGACGATAAGCAACGACTGGTCAGATTACACTTTCGTCAAATAATTGCGAAAAGAAGTGACTAAGAGACCGCACTTTTTTCCAAGATAATGGTGGGATATTGGCAATGACGGGATTATAACCAACGTTTTTCGAAGTTTACACATAAATGCCAGCAAAACTGCCAGCTCAGTTACAATCTTGGTCTGAGTATTATGCGATAATGTTTATCAGCGTTATGATTGACCTATTCCAATTTTTTAATAGAGTCCCGTAGATCTATAAAAAATACGTATACAGTATCTAATATCTTTGTAATACGTATCTTTCATGCTGATCCGTGTATCTTTCGTATTTCATCATGATAAAATTTTCTGATCGAGCATAACATTCAATAAAAACATTATCTATATAATATGTCCATAAATAAAATATTCATAATTAAAAATATATATATATTTTAAATTCAACCAAAACATCTATGTAATATCTCTCTTTTGTATTTATTATTACGGTTCATAATAATGTGTTTTATTTTTATGACTCTGGTCGACCTTTCGAATCCTACACTGTTATATCGTGATAATTATAAATACAATTTTCTTATCTATGTAAAATAAATAACAATGTCGTCAAAAAACTTTATAAGTCAAGTATAAAGACTAGTATAGTAAGTATATACATACTTACTATACTAGTCTTTATATATATATATATATATATATATATATATATATATATATATGTACATGTACTTACTATGCTAATCTTTATACTCGGCTTATTTTTTCTATCATCTGTTGAATGATGAAACTCTTGTTCATCATGACTTTAATAGAGATTCGGATAACAGATTTCATAACATCGATTAAATTAAGAAAAAGAATATAGTTAAATATTAAAATATTTGTCTTTCTTTAAAAACTTTAAGATTTCTTTAAAAGTTTAATGATTTAGAGTTACTTTTCCTTTATCTAAAAATATACAAAAAGTTATCCTAATTTTTAAAGTTTTTAAAGCGTATGAATAGGTTTTTAAAAAATTTATATTGCCTTTAAACATAAATAATTATAAAAACTTGGAATTTGTGAACAATCGTAAAAAAATGATAAGAGATATTATTATTAAATAATGGCCTTATCTTTAACTTTTATATTACAACAACTTTGACTCATAAATAAAAGGAAATAGATTGTACTTTAACCAACTGCCGATATAATGGAAAATTCAACGAGACGCGTTGCCATCAAGTTCAAAAGTTATCAAGTAATATTTATACTATTTATAGGTTGCTGGAAACATTCCTAGAAGTTTGATGAAATAATTTTTTTACTCAAGTCAGATAAAAAGAAATTCTATCATATCATTTTATGGTACGTCACGATAAAATATGTCACAATATAATTTGTTACAATATAACAAAGTTAATTTCTGCACTTAACATTATTCATTTATAAAGGTTTTTTAATTAAAATTGTTATCATATAACAAGTTTAAAGTAAAAATTATTATATCAAGTGATAGGAGTTCAATATAAAAATAAGAGAAATACGCAGCAAGAACATATTTAAAAAATATTACATATTTTTATATATTTTATATATTATTGAATACCAAGAGAGCAGAGATTAATTATTATCGGTCGACTATAAGGGAAAACTTGTCGATTACGCTCGTCCGATCACCGCGTCGGGGCGTAGTGATGCGGTGCAGATGCGATGCTTCACCGTTGGCACAACGACGCCAGGCATCGCGACGCCACCGTTATCGCGACGGCGCGACCAACAGCGGCGGCGGCGTCGGCGGCGGCAGCGATGGAGGCGGCGGAGGTGGCGGTACGACCAGCGACGGCGGCGGCGCACTGTGAGACTGATAGTCGTAATCATGCCACCCTGACCTCACGCACATTCCCGTAAGCACGGTGCGTGCGTCGACGTCGCAGGGGAAGATCTTTCGCGTATCCGTGGTAGGAGGATCCGCAAGTAGGAGGAAGTGGAGGATAAAGACGACGACGACAACGACGACGACGACGACGACGACGACGACGGCGACGGCGACGGCGACGGCGACGACGACGACGACGACGACGACGACGACGACGACGACGACGACGACAGCAACAGCGACAGCGACAGCGAGAACGGCATCCTCAACGAGTACGCGCACGAGCACGAAGCGGGGGAAGGTCGACGTCGCAACGGGAGGACCGGCCGGTCGCAGACGACAAGTCGTTCGTTCTGATACCGTCGTCCAGCCCGTCTCTCCCGGTGAACGACGTCGACGGGAATGGACGCGCGAGAGCGGGACGGGAACGCGCGCGCGGAGGATCACTGTGGAATCGACCTGTGTTCGCGCACGTGTCGATAAAAATTTCATCCCCTAGAAACAGAGATAGAACATTTACACGCGGCGTTGGAGCAGGCGTGAGCTCTGTGATTCGGAGCGACGTGTTACAGCGGGGTGCCGTTAACAGAGAAACCCTGTCAATCACGCGGGAACGTGCGCGAATATATCGATGCGATCGACCGCGGGCGCGTTCGATGATCGAGGAGGCGCATCGCGGAGTCCCGTCTCGTCGCTTCCGTCCAAAATCCGCGACGCGGAATCGCGGCGACTACGAGGATAATGTACACGCCGCGCGTCTACGTTACATGTGCGTGTGGAAGCTGTTGTCCTCGTGACACATATTAGAAATAGGGACGCCCCGTGTGCACTTGCGTGCGCCGTTACCGCCGCGGTGCCGCGTGAAGGCATTCAGTCCGACGCCGAGGAACCGGTGCACGCGACGCCTCGAAAGCGCGTATTTCCTCCCCCGCGGACACGTCCGGGTTATTCTTCGACGGCGCCGCGACCGGATAGACGCGTGCCGGGCAGATTCCGGGGGGGAGGTGCACGTGCGTCCAGCGAAGATCATGAAAAAAAGAGGGACGAGGGTGCGAGGCGACGCCGCCGGCGCTGTACGTCGCACGTGTTACTCGGACCGAGCCGGATCGATCGCCCGGAAGTGTGCTCGAGCCCGACGCTGGTGATATGCGTCTTATTCGCCGTGTGCAGATTTTCGCGAGAGCGATCTTCGCGGACGAGCGATCGTCGTCGTCGCGGTATTCGCGCGAATCGGCTCTGCTCGCGTGAGCCGATTCCTGCGTTCTATCTTCGCGTTCATGCAATCTCACTCCTTTTCGTTTGGAGTGCTGGTGACGAAAGTGAATTTATTGTGTATATCATAGATGTACGTGGTATCATCTATAAGGACGAGTTGATTATTACTGAATTGGTGAACAAGTGTTCGACGATGTTCGAAGGCATTGGTCATTGGTGCGTCGTCGAAAAACGTTCGATTTGAATCCTTCGTGAATTCGAACATGTATCCGTTGCCAGTGAGACATCCTGTGATCTCGAGAGGTATAAGGCATATATACTATCGATGTATAGTAATCTTCAAAAAGAACTCGCATGCAGCTGGTTTTTTTTCGTGTCTGCTGTATTTCTCTCTTCGTGAAATTTCTTGGAAAATTAGAGCGAACGAATTTGAAGTTAAACGAGAGTAAACGTGCGAAAGGAGGAAGACGTGAAACTTTTAATTGAGGCTCCGATTTCTCGCTCGCCCAAGCTAATCGGGGGAAGCTAATCGAATCTGGAGCACGCTCCCGTTTCAAGCGGGTCTGCTCTATTTCGACGAGATTCCTCGATGCGGAAGTCTCGATGTCTTAATACATTCGCGAGACGAAGATTCGCCGGCGCGACACGGTCTCTTAAACAACATGTACATTAGGTAGCGACAGAGAAAGGGGTCGTGATGATTTATGTATCTTTTATTAAATCAAGAAGGAGCTCGTTTTATTAAATTAAATAATATTAACAGTGCGATTAAGTAATATTAACGTCGTGGTAGTAGGAAATGAATGCCCTCAGTTTAGAGAGAGATGTGTAATAGTTTCGGCTAATGTTAAATATTTCATCGTAATGACGGTGGCTCGCGTTTCTATTCTCTTTATTGTATTCGTCTGTCGGCAATTCAGCCTCGCCGTGCCGCCATGTGTCGCCACGCAATAAACAGACAGGTTGTGCCATTCGCCTCGAGACTCGAGACTGTCTTCGTTGGCACAGTTCTCGTCGCCTTTTCGGGTAACAGATCCGCGCGAAGTGCAACGATAGCCAGATCGCAACGGCGTCGCTTTCCTCGGGATTACTCGTCGTAACCCTCACTTTCAGAGAGGCAGAAGCGCGCACGCGAGAGAGGGAGAGAGAGAGAGAGAGAGAGAGAGAGAGAGAGAAAGAGGGGAAAGGAGGAGGATTCTTTCTTTCCTCGCCGCGCAACTAACGAGCGCAGCTCGGCCGTCACTTTTCGTTACCATCATTATTAATAGCGGACACATCGATTAATTGATTTATGTTATAAAAAAGAATGGCACGCGTCGATAAATAATGACGCGTCTCCCCGTCCCGTCGTCCCGGCCCGTCCGTTTGCCGTCAATAGAGCGTAGCGAACCTCACGGTAACGTCAGACGTGTACGGATCATCGACTCTGGCTCGCCTCGGCTTTCAACGTGTGTCGTACCCTCCGAGCCCCCTCCGAGGCCACGCTCGGAGCCTACCTAGTTCTTATCTCACGTTCTCGCGGGGGAGTAACTGACCGATATCGGCGCCGCTACACGCGCTCCATTAAAAATGCAGCCCTACAGAGGCCGCAGTCTATAGACACACATTCGCGCGGCCGCGTGCGCCGTACCCCTCTTTTTTTTCCTCCTTTTCCCAGCCGATCGAACACACCACCAACGCGTTCTACCCCTGTGTTCTGTCCCTTTCTCCTAAATCGCACTATGAAGACATGAACCGGCCTTTTCGCGACGTTCGCAATGGAATCGCCGTTAATTCTGTCAATTCTGATACACTCGCTCGCTCAATTTCACACGTTAATATTCCATGGAGAAGAGATTCTCCCGAAATTTCGATACTCCGACAAATCGTGTCTTCCCCTCGCTTCCCTAAGGAAAGCACATAATTCTTCCGAATGGGACACATGATCTATCGTGAGTGCATGACCTTGAAATCGTCATTCTTCCCTCGCGCGTCGAGCGTCGAACGGTATCGACGGTACCCCGAAGGCCGGAGACCGGCCGGCGATAATAGCGGAGAGCATCTCGGGCCACTCTCACCGCGACCCGCGTTCCGCGAATCCTCGCGATGATTTTCCGTGGCGGTGCGAGAACTCCAACTATTTATAAATGGTCGGAACCCGGTCGCATTGGCGAACGACTCGAGTCGACGGAGCTGCCGCCTCGTGCAGCCGCAGCCGCAGCCGCCTCGTGTGGGGAACAATTCGCTACCCCATGGTAAAAATAGAAGCTCCTAGCCAGCTAGCCGAACTCGAGGCTAGAGCTTAAGGCGCGCGCGGCACCGCTCTAGCCACGCTAGAGCGAACGGACGGACGGACAGACGGACAGACGTAGGTACGGACCGGCGCACCGGCGCAACCGAGCTTGTGCCCGTGCGGATGCTGACGATGATGCTGATGTCGGTGCCGTTGCTGCCGATGTTGCGCACCGAGCTAGAACCACACCGTCCGCCGCCGTCAACGTGAAGAAAGCGCGCCCGCGCGCGCGCGCGCGTGCGAGATCCACGCGTGTGTGTGTGTCCACGTGCGTGTGCCTGTTGGTGTATATGATGTGTACATGTGCATGCGTATGCGTGTGCATATACATGCGTATTGAGAGAGTTCGGCTCCGCTCTGCGTTTTCCTCTTCATGTTACTTCCACCTCGCAACCCGTGTCTCGAGATAGACTCAGTGTCCGCCGAGGCTTCATCGTGGGTCCAGTCCCGTGGATCTTAGTCATCGACCGTTCCACCGTAGGTAGATCTCCTCGCGGGTGACTCATCAGAGAGAGCCCGATCGGGTCTTCGTTTCCCGAAGAAAGCGTCAGATCGAAAAGAGAGGAGCTTTCGTGCGGAGGAGTTGGACGGACGAAGATAGGGAGAGAGAAAGAGCGAGTAAGAAAGAGAGAGAGAAAGAGAGGGAGAGAGCGAGCGAGCGAGCGAACGAACGAGAGAGAGAGAGAGAGAGAGAGAGAGAGAGAGAGAGAGAGAAAGAGAGGCACATTCCGAGCGGATCACGGATGCTTATAGAAGCGTTGCGTAACGGCGTCAGGCGGACAGCAAAATCGCGACTCCGACGGGCTCGTTGTCTCGTTCCGATAATTTCAAAGGGAAACGTACATCGCGCGCGCGACGAGTTCTCGCGAATCCTAGAGCGATATCCTATGGTGATTGCCGTAGCGCCAAAAGTTCCCGAGTGCCGTGTGCATGGTGCTGGATGCGCGTCACGATTCTTCGAGAAGCCTCGACGAGTCCCGATCCCGTTGATTCATGATCACGGGCGGCTGTGGCGACACGTGTGCGTACATGTGCGTGTATGCGAGTGAGTGAGAGAGGTAGACCGACCAGGGTGATAGCATAGTGACGTGGCCCGAGGTGCTTCGTTTCGTGGTGATTTTAGGCGGGGGTTGAAAAGACGAGAGAAGGAAGATAAGAAAAGTGTTCGAGAGGGAAATCTTGCACCCGACGTATCGATTGCACGTATCGATTCGTAAAATCGAGGCTCGTCAAGGCCGCAGGTCTCTTGAGCTCTCTCGATCACCCGGCACCGGAAGAAAAAGAGAGAGAGAAAGAGAGCGCCATGTAACGTTCCGCGTTCGAGATCGAGAGACGTAGATCCGCGCTCGTCACGTTCGCGCGCTCTCGCACGTTCGGTTCTTCGAAGTTGTACTAAAATTAAATCCGGGGCCCAGGCGCGAGACTCGCTGATTCTTTTCTCACGTCCGGCTTCTCTCGCGCGGACTGCGTTGCGATGACAGGCGTGCCTTGAGGATTCGGGAGCGCGGTCCAGACCAGAGACCGGCGCGCGCGGGATTTAAACCCGATCTTTCGCTATAGGACAACAGCTCCGCCGCCGTGTATCGCTCGTGTCCCGCCACGTCTCGCAACGACGTCGACGATAAACGTGCGGTCGTTACGGCGGATCAACGTTCGATTCTTCGATGCTATTGTAGAGACCCGGTGGAGGCGGACGTGAGAAGGCGGCGGCGAGGGCGGCGAAGAAGATTACGACGACGTCGAAAAAGAAGGTGGCGGAGAATGGAGTGACGTACAACTGCGCAAGGCGCGTGCAGACGTTACTGATGAGCGAGCACGAGCACGAGCACGAGCACGACGACGATAACGATCACGAAGACGAAGACGAAGACGAGGGAAACGAGGGAGTCGAAGAGTAGTGGTAGACGGAGAAGAGGGGAACGAGGAAAGCGCGAAAACGAACGACAGTGCCTGCGGTAACTGCGAGATATGCAGCAACAACCGCACTCCGGCCAGCAACCGTCCGGGGGGGCGCCGAACGGGGTGGCGGGGGGCGCCCAATTGCCACAAACAGGTGGCATAAGTCCGGCGCAACCTGGCGCGACCGGTACCGCCACCAATCGCGCGCAAGTTAACGGGGGCAGATTCGACTTTGACGACGGTGGGACCTACTGCGGCGGCTGGGAAGACGGAAAGGCCCACGGCCACGGCGTGTGCACCGGGCCCAAGGGTCAGGGCGCCTATTCTGGCAGCTGGCACTTCGGCTTCGAGGTATCCGGCGTCTACACCTGGCCTAGGTGAGCGACCTATCGTTGATACCGACTACTTGTTTGTTCGCGCTCGTAGTGCGCTCCACTAGATTGCAGACGCGGTAACGGTGCCTTATTAGCGCTTCGCATATTCCACGATTGTTAACTATTTGCACGCGGCACACGAAATTACTAAGGATCACAATAAATTATTAATTCCTGTAATATATGTAATCCACGATGCTCGTCTGGTTACGCGCGTTTCGCGGAACGAATTAATCTTGTATTCTCTTCGCGTTGGTGCACTCCCGGGATTTGCACAACGACCGCCGCTCCTCCGAGCTCATGAAGGATTAACACTGAGCTCGTTTGCGCCGTGACGAGTGTACGGTTTTCAGGCTGATTATCCGGTATTACGTTACTGCCACCGCGCCTGCTTCGCGTTAACAACGTCGCCGGCGTCGCGAGGTAAACGACTACCGAACGTTACACGCCGCGAAAGTAACGTAAGTCCGACTTGATGCTATTTCGAAAGATCGAACTCGAGTTCGCTATTTGTAAAAAAATTCCTCGGCAAGACCCTGTCGAACGTTTTATCGACAATTTTCGCGAGTCCCCGAATTCACGAGACTTCTGGCGTCGCGTGTGGCGCGTGATGTGCGAATTGCGGACCTTGACACGTATCTCGGTACCTGGGAGGGAATCTCCCGATCCCTGTAAAACTGGGTCACCGTGCGCAAGGACAACCGGAGCAGGTCACCGGGATCCGAGTCGTCAGGTCCTAGTTCAGGGTCGCCGCGGAACAATAACCGTCGACATTTTCGGGGATAATTGCGGACGTTGATGATCAACATTCACATCGTGTTAAAGATAAAAGTCTTTTTTAAATTTTTGGTGAAATCAATTTACCAAGAAGCCGTGATGGAAGTCTTTCCAATAGAGTCTACAATCTTAGTTTCGGTAAAAGAATTGCAAGATATAAATGAACGTTCAGATTCTTCGAATCCCAAATTAAAATGCACCGTCGAAAATCGTTAAACGTTTCTCGCGAACAATGACGTCATCAGCGAGAAATATTTCAGGTCATTTTCTTCCATGAATTTCGAGCAAAAAATGGCAGGATGTGCCAGTATTCTTGATCCGACAATCGATTCTGCGTTTTCGGACTTCACTCGAAATTAATTAGAAAACACAATTATTAACTGTTTATAAAAGAACCCTGATTCATGAATACTATATAAAATGAGGGTTGTAAAGTAATTGCAGAACTACCCTATTTGTTTTTCGACAGTTAGTTTTACGCGGGGGCATAACGAGACGGTGCGACAATTAGGAAAAAATTTTATGGTATCCACGTGCACGCGACACGAAAACTCGGAAAGGTTTTAACGATCGTAATTAGGGTTTCTAGATCACGCACACAATGGTAATGTTACTGAGTAAGATAAATGGAGATATAACAACAGTAAAATACTGTGCAATGATTTCATTTATGATATTTGCAAAGGAGCTATTCAATTCGATGTAAAAAGAAATATTTTTAACATACATATTTAAAAAAATATTAGTTAATATATTGTTGTACAGTTATTATTATTTTATTAGCGATATTAATTTTAAATCATTGTTGCGTCATATTGTATACAGGTGATTTTCTCGAGATTATCCTCGGGGATTCTGAGATGTGCTTAAATGAAAATTCATTTCTTATTACCGCGGTTTTCGGAATAACCAACATAAAAAAAAAAAGAGAAGAAATGAGGTAAGAACAAACGATGAAGACCTCTCTTCTTCCCGACCACGTATCTAGGCCGAGAGAATTCGCCGTTTCGTTTCCGCGTAAACTGGAGCAAGGTCCATCTTTAGCTAGCAACATTTTCCGACACAACTTCTCGATCGTGATGATACTCGAAGACGAAACCGAGGATTTCGCGAATCGAACGAAGCGTGTTGCCGACCATTATCGTTCAAGGAACGTTCGCCTCACGTGTCTAGAATTTCACTACTGTCCTGTTTATTTCCGTTTCGTGACAAGAACGCGTCGAGTATGCGAGAAATCTCCCAAAATTATTCATCACACATTGGACCATCGCATTGTCAATTATGACTTTTCAAGATATAAAATATTCTTTTCATTCATTCATTCTACAATTTAATTTAATATACGTAAATATAATAATATAATTTAAACGTTATCCATAATTAAATTACAGAACATATCGTATGGACAACTATAATTAATGTAATAATGCAACGGATCGCGTAATATAATGATAAAAATTTTTATCACATGACAGACTATCGTTAAACACGCGTTTACGCAAATACACGACACTTATAGAACTGTAACAGTTTTCCACGTTTATGTAATAAACATCAATCTGTGCAGCTTTCACGTTTATGTAATAATCATCCACAATCATCCATAAAAACTTGGCCATCGTTCGGACAGGATTAATCATTTTCTTTCAAAAGATTTACTACAGATGTTCTTAAAATCTTTCTTGACATTTCGCAGAAATTGTGACAATTAAAAGGGAATAATTAAATTATATTTGAGGCTGGATTTGGGAAGATTTTCTGTGATAAAAAGCAATAAGTTCAGCGTAAAAGTGAGGCTTTAATTGCATTTGATAGAATGTTCACTCGATTAGCTCTTCCTTTGATAATTATAACTCTCATAAAAATATCTTAAAAGAAGGATCGTAGGCGGCGCAATCACTTTCTACGTTGGCACGAATTGTCAAGCTCGCATTGTCATTCCGTTCTGCATATCCAACAATGTGAAAGCAACGTCGTTATCATTGTCATCGACGGCAGTCGGCGACGCAGTCGGCAATTATCGGACGCGCTAATTAAACGGGTTTTCAGTTAATAAATGCGTGGGCAAGAATAGCATAAATAGCGACGTGATCCTTGAACCGTAACTCTTAAGGATATTTTTGCGAAAGCTCTATCGAAGACATGATGACATTATCTCTATAATTTTTTTTTAAGACTTCCCCTTAAGGGGAGGCAAGCTGTTTTAAAAGATTAAATTTCGCAAATTGCATTTCAGCGGGTCAGCCTACGAGGGACAATGGCAGAACGGCAAGAGACATGGCCTGGGTATGGAGACCCGTGGCCGTTGGCTTTACCGGGGAGAATGGACTCAGGGGTTCAAGGGTCGTTACGGGGTCCGGCAGTCTACTACCTCCACGGCGAGATACGAGGGCACATGGTCCAGCGGTCTGCAGGACGGTTACGGCTCCGAAACTTACGCCGACAGCGGTGAGCCCCAAGTCTATTTGACACGTTCACAAGTCACGATCAACGTGACTTTTTTTTTCCTATAAATTATTGAATACAGGAAGTCTCTGAAAGTCTTACGAATTAGATAGACAAACAGCGAGCTCTCCTTTATAAAAATAATAATTTTTATGCATAAAAATATTATATAACTGGAAAAGAAACGTTTCGAGTTTTGTAATTACTTGATTGAAAAAAAAATTTATTTTATTTCGAAGAAGAGCAGAATACGCTTTGAAAGCATTTTCAGAAATATATAAGCTAATAAAACAACCTTCGTGATACGATTGTCCTGTGCCGATTCGTAATAACAGTTAATATCATGTGCGTGAATACTAATATATTTTATTCGGTTGTGCGGTTGTACAAAATTCGGCTTTATTGATTTCGCATTAAATGTGACCGCCGTTAATAAATGGGCGCTTTCATTCACGAATGAAATATTTTGTTGGACGTTAAAATGCACGCCGGAAATTCTCCTAGGGTGCTCGAGAGCGCCGGCCTATGAAGCGAGACATCGTCAGTAAATAAATCACGGTGTTCTTTTAATAAAGCATCGCGAGGCTGACTTGGGAGCGCGATAAATAAACAAAACAAGAAACGGATGTGGCAGAACGCCTCGTCGATTTCGCATTATCTCGGCGAGATATTTAGCTGCGCCAAGATTGATGGCCGACACGGCGGCAATTGAGGTGCGTCTACAAAAATTGATGCAGTATTTAGAGAGCGGTCTTCTTCTTTGCCTCTCGAATTCCTCTGCTTACAAAGACGTCATTGTCGAGCGGAGTATCACATCACAACGAGGTTTTACTTGAAACGTTGCGTGTTATATAAAATCTTATTCGGTTGTATCTAAGAGGAATCGTTTCCACGGTGAACCAATCAATCCTGGCAAGAGGTTCGATTTTTTATTGTTGCGAGTGAAACTCATAAGGAAACATAATCGCAACAGATAACGCCACTTAATCGATATCGCTTGCAAAAGTCTTTTCGAGAAGTGCCAGGATTGATGATACTGCTGCGCGACGATTGCAGACGTTTCTCGAAAATCGATGCGACCTTCAATAGATTCTTACTCGTTCCAGTCCTTACGAACCGTCCATTCGTTTTTTTTTCTTCCCGAATATCTCTCCCTCTGGCACGATGCGACTTCTCATCCTTAACTCTCGCCCCGCTATAGCATCGCAAAATTCAATACATCTTAAACGTCGTTAACCGAGACTCGGTCATAATTTCTCCGCTGTTAAATTCTAATTTGCCGAATTCATTTAACTTGGCGGCGAGATATCGTTAGAGGCAATTTTCTGTAGTCGTTCCAGTTACGAATAAACGACACGCCATTAAACGAAGTCGCACTCCAGCCGTCGAGGAAGTAGGACTTATTGTCCAACCGATCGATCATCGCTGGTGAAACATTATAAAGTATTCACGTGCTATATCTACCATAAGAGATCGTACAGTGTTGCACGCTCGCGTAACATGAAATATTACCGGCGTATTAATTAAGGATGATATCGTGTTCTCAGACCTGTCGTTTTTCTCGCGGGATAAACTTGTTCTCGCCCGGAACGTTAACGGTCGCGGCAGATGCTGCGTCTCAGCGTGTTGTGAAAAGATTGCGAGTAAACCAAATGGAAAATCTTCGCCCTGTAACTCTTTGCGCGGCGGAGTTTCGCCGTTATTCATCTCACGGCGACGAAATACTTCGAAACTCCCAAACGTAAACTCGAAGGCGAATTCTCGCGATTCCCGCGTACTCTTTGGGAGAGACGATCGAAACGAGGCAAAATAAATGCAAAGACTTCGCGTGCTTCGCGATGTGCAATATCCTTCCCCCTGATGAGTTTATTCCGTACTCTCGCAGCATCCCGATTGCCGCGCGATCAACGAAATCTTCCGCGCGAGAGCCACCGGAATTCAGAAACTGGAAATGCTTCTGACATGGCCACGTCATGTCGAACACGCGCGCGTACATTATGCTCGCACGAAAATAGCACATCCGATCGCTCGACGCGAATCAGTCGACTCGATATTTATCAAACGCCACCCAGGTTACCCGATCGGATTTAATGCTTTACAGCTTCGAATGTATCTCTAATGAGTCACTATAAGTCTCTTTCCGCTCCTTCCGCTAGACCGTGGTCGATTTAACCAATTTTTTTTTTTTTACTGTCACGTAAAAATATATATCTCGAGATACATCTGTCTTCCAGGATAAAATATATCCCTTATTATCCGTTACAATTTTCTGAAGATGGACCAGCTTAGCACCTGAAAATGCGGGCGGCCTGATCGTCCAGGGTCTATATAAAGCGCCGAGAAACATCGGTCAAAATGAAATACGATAAAACTTATTCCGCCATTGCCGGCCACATCGCTCACTCTTTCTCATTCTCTTTCAAATGTTTTCCATCTCTTCTCGCCTTTTGCAACGGAGATAAGTGAAGTGCTGGCGCTATTTCGACGCGAGATTGAACCGGCACGGCGCGCGGCGGCGCGGTGGAGGAGCCGCGGCAGTCTCCTATCGTGAATGGACCGGATGTCGAGACGTTTATCGTGAACGCGAACGCGGTTTATGTACACCCGCCGTACTGGAATGTGCATCATGCTCTGTCGTTCCGAAACAGAATAAGAATAATTACAGACAGATTGAACAATTTTCAATACATTCACTCGGATCTTCTTGAGGGAAAAGTGAACACCCTGTTGTTAAATATGATTCGTGTTAGTTTACCCCATCCTGCGAAGTAAATTAAAATGATTCCGTATTATATCATATTAATCTTTCGTTAGGAAAGAATACCGCCAAATTATATCAAATCACTCTCTGTAGAAGATGAATCATTCTTTATATCCAAATTCCCTAATTTGATACAATTTATTGTCAAGCATCAGTTTTATTAGGTTTATTTCATTCGTTATTATAGTATATCTGTTTTATTGAGGATCATCTTCGAGGGTAAAACCACTTTCTTCGAAATTGTCGTTCTAAACGCGCGAACACGTGGCTTGCGATTTGGAGTTGATATCATGTTGGGTTAAAAGATGGTTAATTATTTGAAGTGGTTCGTTATTCAGTATTTTTTTAACAAGCGCAAATGTTTGAATCGACAATATATTATAATATATAGTACGATGTAACAAAATTATTCTCAGATCTGTATTCAGCTAAATCCTGCCATCTAATCTGATCTAAATCCAGCCATCCTGCGGAGTAAATTAAAACGATTCCGTATTATTTCATATTAATCTTTCGTTAGGAAAGAATATCGCCAAATTATCTCAATTCACTCTACGGGGGATGAATCATTCTTTTATATCCAAATTCCTTAATTTGATATGACTAATTCATTGTCAAGCATCAGTTCTATTAGGTTTACTTTATTCGTTATTATAGTATGTACATCTGTTTCATTGAGGATCATCTTCGAGGGTGAAACCACTTTTTTCGAAATTATTTAAACGCGCGAACACATGGCTTGCGACGTGGAGTTGACAATATCATGTTAGATTAAAAAAGGGCAGCTTAATTACTTGAAGTGATTCGTTATTCAGTATTATTTTTTTGACAAGCGCAAAATTTTGAATGGGCAATATATTATAATATATAGTACAATGTAACAAAATTATTTCCAGATCTGTATCCAGCTAAATTTTAATTTCAGTAAAATCGTTCTTTGCGTGTACAGACGCGGCGTGTATTTGAATGTGTCTTCCGGAGATATTTCCAAGGATTAAGATTTCAGTCGCTATGCGACATCACGATGCGAGATAAGAAGCGTGAAAGAAGCATGAAAAAGCGGGGAATGAGCAAGGTGCAGCACGTGTGTATGCACATCGCGTGGAAAAGGGCGAGTCCACGTAAACACGACGAGGGTTCCCACCTACGCTGACGCGCGCGGGCGCGCCCAACTTTTCCGCGAAGGCGCCGGTTGGTTCACCTCCTAGTTTGAACCTCTCCGCGGCGGGTCAAGGTTACATCCACCGGGTCTTTCCGTTCTCCGTTCTACCGCCGCTTCTACCGGCGCAGTGTATATGTGTGTGCAGATCACTCTCTCCTCTCTTCGACGTTAAAATAAAATCTACCCCCTTGCCCCGTTGGCGCGCGCGCGTTACTCGCAGGTCACGTTGTTGCGACGCTCTGGTTCCTTTCGTGCCCTCACTCGAGATTCTATTATACCAGGACGGACATCTCCGCTCCCATGGCCTACACATTTATTTCACCTCTCTCTATACGTCAACTCCCGATTGAGCATCTATTGCAATCTGCGATGCAATTTTCCATCATGAATTTCCTCTTGTCATTTCATATCATCAGTCAATATTTACCACATGCCCGGCGTAATTCGTTCATTTTCATTCATGATCGTATTTACGTTACATACATAATAGCTAAATTAATCTGAGGATATACGTTAATTATTTAACTTCCATGTAACTTGTGGTTGTTAGGATAACGTAGTTACGAGAAAAAGTAACGTAAAATAATTTTTTTTATATATTTAGGTTGGAAATTTTGTTATTGTTAACAAATTTTTGGATAAATTTGAACATATTTGGATTGGCTCGGTTTTTCAAAAAAATGTTTGCAATAAAAACAAGAAAGATAAGGTCAATCGTTCAACGCGTAAATGCGCATAGATTATATGCTCTCAGCTATTACGTACTCCCACGTACTTTCGGCATGTGTTCGTTTCTTTTAACGTATACACAAAATGCGACACGTGAATCAGGATGTAAATATCACCGATGTTTCGTTGTGTATCTTTGATGCAGCTAAATCGACAGTACGTCGTTCGAAATACCACGTTTACATTTTGACATTTCGACAAGTTTGAATTGCCCCGGTTTTATACTTTTCGAAAAACTCTTGCGCGATGTGTCGCGCGTGATTCGTGTTCAGCTTCCCGATCCAGGTTCGAAATTGGCGAAATACAAACCGACGCGATGCGATGCGACGTTCGCGCTTATCATTTAATTGC